GGCCTCGCTTTCTGCTCACCGACTCCTCCCGCGGCGTGTCCTGAGGAGACCTGGTTCTTGTCCCTGTGGACTTGGGCCCACATCCTCCCGAATCCTCCACAGCTGGTCCTAAGGTGGGGGGTTTCTTGCCAGCGTGGACGCGACCACACGTCCTCAGGAAGCTTTCAAAGGGGGTCCTGAGGAGAACCGGTTTCTGTCCCTGTGGCCGCGGCCCCACCTCCTCCCATGCCCCCCACAGCTGGTCGGGAGAAAGCAGAGATACGCTTAATGCCGGAGGCAGGCTGAGTGCGCATGCGCGCGCTGGAGTCAGGGATCAGCGCTCCGGCGCCCCCTGCAGGCAGTGGCGGTAGTGCAGGACACGCACAGTTAACTGGTCCGTGGAGGCAGCGCCGTCTCCTGGCCGCCATCCAGGAAGCGGCTGGTTTAAAATTTTTTATCCTTATTTTTCAGAGAGAGGGAGAAAGAGAGAGAAAGAGGAAGAACACAAGTGGAGAAGGGGCAGAGAGAAAGAGAGAGAGAGAGACAGGTTCTGAAGCAGGCTCAAAGTTCCAAGCCGACAGCACTGAGCCCACCGGGGCTCGAACTCGAACAAAAGGGGAGCCCGACATGACGCTCCAACTCAGAGAGCGTGGGATCCCACGTGGGGCTCTAACAGGCACACAATGGGAGCCCAAAGCCAGGCTAAAACTCCCAAACTGGGAGAGCCCGATGCCAGGTTCGAACTCCAAGAGCGTGGGAGCCCAACGGGGAGCGCGAACAGGCACACCACAGGAGCCTGAAGCAAGCCTCGAGCTTGCACAACACAACGCGGAACCCGACTCGGGGCTTGAACTCGCACACTAAGCAAGCCCCACGCGGGGCCGAACTTGCACACTGAGCAAGCCCCATGCAGGACTCGAACTCGCACAAAAGGGGAACCAGACGCGGAGCTCAAACTCAGAAAGCAAGGGAGTCAGATGCCAGGCTAGAGCAGGCACGCTGCAGGAGCCCTATGCCAGACTCGAACTCGCATACCGCGGGATCCCGACTCGGAGCTCGAACTCGCACACGAGGGAGCCCGACGTGAGGCTCCACCTTGCACATTGGAGGAACCCAACGTGGGGCTGGAACTTGCACACAGGGAACCCAACATGGGGCTCAAACTCGCACAGTAACATCTGATTTAATAGAGATGTCATTCCTCCACTGTCGGTGGGGGGGTGCCAGCGCCACACCCCGCCACCGTGGGGGTGAGGGGATGCAAGCGTTGACGCCCTTCCATCATCAGTGGGTGCTGACTCCATGTTCAAACGGGTGTAATACCATTATTGATGTGGTGTTGATGCGTGACACCTCTGCTATATCATTGATGAACAGGCCCCGCCTTTGTCGATGGGGGAGTGCAGGTGTGACACCCGTCCATCGTCGATGTGGGGTGCCCCTGCATAGATATGGGGTGCTCCTCCATCGATATGGGGATGCAGACATGACACCCATCCCTCATCTAAGAAGGGTGTCTCTTTCATTGATGGTGTGGTGCCCCTTCGTCGTTGTGGGGGTGAAGGCATGACACCCCTCCATCGTTGATAGAGGTGTGCCTCCATCAACGATGGTGGTGTGCCACTTTGCAATGGTAGGTACGGGTGTGTCCCCCACCTTCGTCGATGGGGAGGTGCCTCCATCATCAATTTTGTGGTGCCTCCATCCTTGATTGGGGGTGCCCCTGCATCGACTCCGGGGTGCAGTCATGACATCCGTCCATCGTCGATGAGGTGGTGCCTCCATCATCGATGGTGGGATGACCTGATCTTCAATGGAGAGGTGCAACTCATCATCGATTGCGGAGTGGTCCTTGGTGGATGAAGAGATGTAAGATTGACACCCCTCCATCGTCAATGGGGAGGTGCCTCCATCATCGAATGGGGATTCCCCTTCATTGGTGGGGGTTACTGGCCTGACACCGCTCCATCATCTTCATGAGAGTGCCCTCATCATCGAGAGGGGGATGCAAAAGTTGACACCCCTCCACCGTTGGGGGGCGCATAGGGTGCGAGCATCCCATTGATAAAAGTTTTGCACTTGGTTCATTCCTTTACATTTAGAAAGACTTAGCTTATTCTTAGCTTCTAACACTAATAAAGATCCTATAAATATTTACACAACCGTTATTTTGTGAACATGGGGTTTCTTTCTTCTGGAGTAAACACTCAGGAGTGGTATTTACAGTTTACATATTAAGTTATTCATGTATAATTTCATAAGCGACAGTCAACAGTTTTCCAGAGCTAGTGTTCATTTTTCATTCCTACCTGCAGTGTTTGAGGCCCTACATGTGCTGTATGCTCACCTGAATGGTGTATGTTCCCTACATACCTGAGCCATTGTGATGCATGTATAGGGCATCTCTGTGTTCCTGATTTGAATTTCTCTGACAGTCCCTGATGTGAAGAGTGTTCTCTTGTCCTTACCTAATGTGTCTATATCTTCTTGGATGGGATGTCTTTACAAGGCTGTGCTTCTTTTATAGAAGGTTGTTGCCTGTTTGGCTATTGAGTGTTGAGGGTTCTTAACATATTCCAGATGCAGGGCCTTTGGTGGTTATGCAATTTTTTACTATTGTCCTACTGCTGTTGATGTTCATGTGGGCAGAAAAAATATTTGATTTTCACAAAATTTTACCATTTTTACTATTTCTCTTTATGAGTCCCACTCTTTTAGCTATAATTTTCATTTTCATGATGATTGGTTGCCTGTGAATAATTTATAGATTTACAATGTACCTAAAAGTCTTGTTTTTTTCTGGTCTTTCTCAGTGTCAACTTGTTTCCTAATTGGTCTCTGGTAACTCAGTGTTATCTTGTTTTTAAATTTATAGACTCTGGTTATACAATTCCATGGCATGGTCTTCATAACATATGGACAATTCTATTTTCATACTCAAAGATGAACTTCAGATTTCATGAGAGATTCTGTGCTGTGTCTTTTCGGCTATATTGGTCATCAGATTTGATAGATGTGCTTCTGTGTCAAAAAAAAAAAAAAAAGACATTTAGCTTTCCACATGTTGGACTTTTTTTTGTCTCAGGAGCCACTGAGGTCTGTGCACACAGCTGAGTTCTTGACACAGGTCACGGTCAGGGTCACAGTCAGTGTCACAGTCAGGGTCGGGGTCAGAGTCATGGTCTCAGTCATGGCTGGGGTCAAGGCCAAAATTAAATACATACATACATATATGCATAAAATGAACTATTGGGACTACCTCAAAATAGCAAGCATATGCACATTGAAGAAAGCAGTCGATAAAACTAAAAGGCAGCCCACAGAATGGGAGAAGATATTTACAAACGACATATTCTTAGGGTTAGTATTCAAAATACGTAAAGGTTTTTTTTAATTTTTAACATTTTTATTTATTTTTGAGAGACAGAAAGAGACAGCATGAGCAGGGGAGGGACAGAGAGAGAGGGAGAATCTGAAGCAGTCTCCAGGCTCTGAGATGTCAACACAGAGTCCAAGGTTGGGCTCGAACCAATGAACTCTGAGATCATGACCTGAGCTGAAGTTCGACGCTTAACAGACTGAGCCACACAGGCACTCCTGTAAATGATTTTTAAACATTATTTTTACATTATTAGTAGAAAGTGTGTCGATGCAGTTCAGTAGATTTTCATGTGAGAAGCGATTTCATGTCTTCCACTTTTGTATTGTGGTAAGATCTCACTGAACATGAGATCCACCCTCTTCACAAAATCTTGACCATACTTTATAGTGTTGTTAATTACATGTGTAATGTTGTGGAAAAGACCTCTATAATTTAATCATTTTGCATAACAGAAAATCATACCTCTTGATATGCTACTCTTCTGGCCCCTCCCTGCCAGCCCCTGGCAACTGCCATACTACCCTCTGTTTTACTGTTACTAAAACACAAATTCAGATACCTGCTACTGGAAAGGTCAATGTTCAAGGTTTTAGTTTTAGTGGGAAAGGAATTTGAGCTTTATTCAGGAAGCCAGCCACATCGGAAGAATGCAGACTCTTGTCTAAAAGCCAATAGTGAGGTTTCTGCCTGACCCAGGGGATTTTAAAGGAGTAGAGGGTACTTAATCAAACAAGGGAGTGTATAGTTGATAACATCTTTTGATCATGTGCAGACTCCATGGTACAAGTTGCCAAAGTTACCTCAGCTCCCCTGCATCTCCAGCTGAGGAGAGAACCACACATGCATGTGAGGAGACTGTCAGAGGCCAGAAAAGAACCACAATAAAGGATTAGAGGGAAAAAATCCTGGGGCTCACAAATGGTTACCAGTAGTTTCTGTTCTTATCATCGGGCATAAGAAAAATAAAATAAAATAAAATACAACCTTGTGGTTCACCAATCACATGGAATACTTGGAAATGTTTTCCTCAGTAAGCTCAGAGGAAGCTTCAAAGAAAAGACTAAAAGGATAAAATGGCTTGCTAACTAATTTCCAACCAGAATAAGATACTTAAAACTACAGAGCAATTGTTTTCATCAACTATAAATGCAAAATTGGCAATGTCTACCTCCACATCCCATGGAGGTATAAAGCAATGGTCTCCATGAGTAAAAGTAGTAATCCATAGGAAGTGACCCAGCAGTACCATAGGAGATGGAGTTGGTAGAGAAGTTAAGGGTGTTATAATTGTACATCCCATATTCAAGTAGCTGGAGGAAAGACTGAATGTGATGAATAGAGCCATGCCTCTGGGTGCAAGCCCATACCCATGTCCATGTGAGCACTCTTGGACATGGGTATGGGCTTGAGCACATACCACATGACTCACCTGCCTCTCTCACATCCAGCCCAGCTGAACTGATGTGAGGGCCACCCACTGCCACGCCCTGTGACTGTTACCTAACCTCACAGGTGGCCCCCAGGTTTAGGGCCTTGGCTGCCCAACTCATCCCTCTGTTCTGTCAGAGGGTCTAGACCTGCATTTGCTGAGCATCCTCCATTTATCCATTCTCCCTGGCAGATGTCCCTGAGCAGGGGCATGAGGCTGGCAGAGGGCCAGGTCACCCTGAGGGCGCCCCTCTTGCTGTTTGCACTCTGGGCAGTGCTGGATCCTGTCCAGGGTTCTCAAGGCCGTCCCTCATGGCGCTATATCTCCTCTGAGGTGGTAATTCCCAAGAAGGAGCTGCACCACGGCAAGGGCCTTCAGATGCCTCGCTGGCTGTCCTATAGCCTGAGTTTTGGGGGCAAGAGACACATTATCCACATGAGACGCAAGAAACTGTTTTGGTCCAGACATCTGCTGATGATGACTCAGGATGATCAGGGAGCCTTGCAGATGGAATATCCCTTCATCCCTCCAGACTGTTACTACCTCGGCTACCTGGAGGAGATTCCTCTTTCCATGGTCACCATGGACACGTGCTATGGTGGCCTTGAAGGTATCATGAAGTTGGATGACTCTGCCTATGAAATCAGACCCCTCAGCGATTCCCAACGGTTTGAACACGTTGTTTCTCAGATAGTGGCAGACACCAATGCAACGGGACCTACTTATAAACTGGGATATAAGGAGGATAGGGACCCCCTGTTCTCTCAAGCAAATGCCACTGCAGCCCCCCGGATTGCTAGTAAGTTGTATTCATCCCATCAAGGAATTTTGAAAGGACTTACTCTCAGCTCCAAAGCAATGTATACTGTGTTCAACAATGTGTCAAAATGTGCCCAATTCCTAATAAGGCTAGTTAGTTTGACTGACTCAATGCTTCAAAGTATTGATATAAGACATTATATTTCCTCCATGGTTATTTATAATCAGGCAGATCCAGTCGTCTTGGACAGTTTTCACGTGCCAGGGAGTCCAATTCATAACTATTTTGAAAGACACTTGTTTGAGACTTTTAAACCACATACAGCTTTACTTATGAACAGAAACGCGCCACATGAACTTCAGTTTCAGCCAGTCCTGTACGGAATATGCAGAGAGAGTTCCCTCATCTCACTTGCTTCTCTAGGCAGACATTTCTTACTGTTGTCTGTTTTAGTAACACAAAAAATAGCCTTATCTATTGGCATTTATTATGACCATTCGCTTTGTGTGTGCCAGAGGAGGTCCACCTGCATTATGAATAGATACCCTGTTATGACAGATTCTTTCAGTAACTGTTCCTTCGTTCATATCCAGCATGTAGTGGTTAATAATGCTGAGTGCATGTTCGTCCGAGATATGTTCTATTTCAATAAAAGCCTGACCCATGATCGTTGTGGAAACTATGAGGTGGAACCAGGCGAGGAGTGTGACTGTGGCTCCTTCAAGCAGTGCTACAACAATCCGTGTTGTACAAGTGACTGTATCTTAACCCCTGGCAGCAAATGTGATACAGGCAGATGCTGTACAAACTGTACCTATTCCATTGCTGGGACACTCTGCAGACCAATCCAAAATATATGTGATCTTCCAGAGTACTGCCATGGGATGTCTTTGGCGTGCCCCGATGACTTCTATATGCAGGATGGAACCCCATGCACTGAAGAAGGCTACTGCTATCATGGAAACTGCACTGACCGCACTATGCACTGCCAAGAAATCTTTGGCAAAAATGCTGTGAACGGTGAAGATGTCTGCTATACTGTAAATCAAAAAGGCAGCCGATATGGACACTGCAGAAGATCCCCAGGGGAATTCAAATCTAAACCCTGTTCCCATACAGACATACAGTGCGGAAGGTTGCAGTGTAGTAATGTCACTCATCTCCCTCAGTTGCAAGAGCATGTTGGATTCCATCAGTCTGAGATCTCAGGGTTCTGGTGTTTTGGGCTGGATTCACATCGTAGCACAGGAACAACTGATGTTGGTCATGTGAGAACCGGTACCCCCTGCGCTCCTGGAAAGTTCTGTCAGGATACCTACTGCAACGGCAGTATGGCTCAGCTGAATTATGACTGTATCCCTGAGAAATGCAGTCACAGAGGGATGTGCAACAACAACAGGAACTGCCACTGCCACATAGGCTGGGATCCTCCATGGTGCATTAAACGAGGTGCTGGTGGGAGCATAGACAGTGGACCCCCTCCAAGAAGAATGCGGTCAGTCAGGCAAAGTCATGAATCCGTGGTATATCTCAGAGTGATCTGTGGTAGAATGTATGCCTTGATCACTGCATTTCTCTTTGGCATTGCCACAAATGTCATAACTGTCAAGACAGTGAAAGTCAATAAAAAGACTGTTGGTGAAGACAATCCGTTATTCATTCTCCAGACCCCTGAACAGCTATAAGCATTCCCCTTGGAGCATCTGTGAAAATACAGTAATGAAGTGGCATAGCTGAAATCCACATTTCTGGGGGTCTGCAGGAGACACAGGGGTCCCCAGGCACATCACGTCTCTGACACCAGGTTTCTGATGGATCACTGACCAGCACTCTGAAATAAAAGTTAAAAACTGAATCGTTTTGGCCTCTATAGATTTGTAACCATGTAAGAGCCCAGACTGAGCTCGAGACTCTGGAAAGAGGACCTGAGTCAAAAGCTGTGTCTTGAGCCAAGGTGTCCAGTCCCAGAATTAAGAGAAGTTGCCACAGCTCCTTTAGGGACAAATTCATGAGTTTTCTCCAAAAACTGTGCTCTTGAACCCTGAGCTGTTTCTCATTCTCCAGGTAATCTCTCCTTCCCCAGATCCAACGTGGTTTCAGGGTGATGGAAGGCTACCAACCACCCACACTGCCTGTCCCATACTCAGGTGTCTGTGGGCTGTGAGGGAAGGTAACAGGGATTCTATCCCACCCAGTGCAAGCTGTGCCATCCTGGAAAGTAAATTTCCAAATGTGAGAGACTGAGACCATGAGGCTGAAATATCATCCAATGAAATCAATCTGAAAGGTAGGCAGAAATGCCTATCAATGACTCTGGCATCCAGAGGGATCCCAGTGAATGTGAATCCCTGTTTTCTTTCTCCTACCTTTCAGTGAGCTTAACCTTAGATTAGGATCTGCCTAGGATTCCCATTTTGATTTTCCAGGTGCCTTGTAGAACAATCATGCAGAGGTAAGCCTATGAAAATTTAGGGACTTCAGCCCCATCCACTCCTAAGTAACTGGGTACTTGCTATGTCCTGTTCACTGGGAATGTGGGATGGAGGCCTGCCCTTCCCTGGGTCCTTGTGTCTCCTTGTTTCTGGGCCCTGTAACTCATAAATCTTGTGCCTCCATTTACTTTGATAAGGGTGTACTGAAACCCCACCTTCAGTCAGAAGGACCCTGCACATCTCATATACCCAAAGCAGGAGCTTGGATCTCTAGGGAGCCACCTGTCAACCTCCTGTGAGTGGCTTTTGCCTGCTCCTTCAGCAGGTCACAGTCTGCATATTCTTAATTCAGTACAGCAGTTGGGGTCTCCCAGTATATTTGTCCCCAAGGATCGATTGCGAGCCTAGTTGATGCCCCCCTACAATGCCTTAGAGCTAGGAATGTCTCACTCATTCCTCACCCTGACCTTTAAGCTGTTCTGGTAAAGAGCTGGTGCTTGCTGGTGGTCTGTAGCTTTGCTTTGGGCTGATACCAGGTGTTTAGAGAAGCTGCCACCCTAAATTATGAATACCATAAAATCTCAGACTCCCTGCAGAGAGACCAACATGCAGGAACAAGTCTGGGGGTCGAGGGGTGTGTATTACCTATTCATCTCCAAATGAGATATGGCTGGACACCAAGAACAGTGTTCCCAGATTAGTGTCAAAGAAGATGCCACCTGCTGGGTCTGCTGTGTTGCGGCCAACATCGTAGTGTTGTGCTTGGTTAGCCAGCCCTAGCTAGTGATGGAGGCAACTCTACCAGGAGCATCATGGCACTTTAAGCAGAGGACATGGCCAAGGCAAGCTCCCCATAGTGGCTGCATACCTTGCTGCTGTCGCCAATGGCTCCCCACCTGTCAGGTGTTAAGTAGGACACCCAAGTGTGGGAGGCCGTAGCACATGAGTCTGCGAAGAGGTAACTTTTATCTCAGGTCTTCCCTGTCATGATCTATTACACTACCATGTCCAAGGACTAGCATGAGAGACATAAATGGTGATAGATACTATGCCATCAATGGAAATGCAAAATTTCATAGAATCATTTGTCCAAAGAGAGGAAGACAAGGACATTGATTGGCTCTTGCAGGTCTTCATAACTGGCTCCACGAGCTGTTACTTACAGCACTTGACATGCTGCAGCTGGCTGGATTAGTCCAAGACTCCTAAATTCATAATTCACTGAAAAACTCAAATTATCAATGGCTTGTTTTCTTAGAGACACCCTGGAGGAGCCTCCAGAGATTTCACTGTCTCAGAAGGCCATGACAAGCACACCAAGGCACAGGGAAGGCGACAGGGACCAAAAAAAAAAGAAGAGGGGAAGGCTCTGAGGAAGAGGCTCCCCAGGCCCCCAGAGCCCACAGAAGTAGAAAAAAAGAAGCTTTGATTCCAGGGACTTTAATTTTTATGACATGACAGTACAGGCCCACTGGGAAGAGACAAGCCCAGGTGAAGCATGACTTTTCTTAGGTGAAATTGGGACAATTCAATGGGTGTTTTTTTTTTTGTTTTTTGGGTTTTTCTTTTTGGTTTGGGTTTGGGTTTTTTTGGGGTTTCTTTTGGTTGTTTTTTGTTTTTTGGGGTTTTGTTTTGTTTTGTTTTTTGTTTGTTTGTTTTTTTACAGATAGTTTATTGTCAAATTGCTTTCCATATAACACCCAGTGCTCATCCCCACAAGTGCCTTCCTCCATACCCATCTCCCCCCTCCACTCCCCACACCCATGGGTCCTGAGTTTGTTCTCAGCATTCAAGAGTCTCTCATGGTTTGCCTCTCTCCCTCTCCCCCACTATTTCCCCCCTTCTTCTCCCCCACGGTCCTCCGTTAAGTTCCTCCTAATCCTCCTATACGTGCAAACATATGGTATTTGTCCTTCTCTGTCTGACTTATTTCGCTCAGCATAAAGATCGCAAGATCATTTTCAACCTGGATGAGAGGCCCTTACAACAAAATCTAAGGAGTTCTTCATGAAGTACCACTCTGATTTTAAGTCTATTCCACTACAATTCATAGAAATACCAGATTCAGTATAGCAGGCATTAGCATGGATGCCATAGTCATATGTGACAAGCAGAATTTTCATGAAAACCAGGACTTATTTGCTGCAAATGCTGATAGACTCACCACCTCCACCACCCAGGAGCGCAGGGGAGGGTCCCAATGGGATATGGGCTTGGGGGCCTCTTATCTGCCTAGAGCAATGGGTGGCACTTCAACCCAGCTCTCTTGCTCTGGAGATGACTCCCACGCTTATCTTTATTGGCAGCTCTGAGAAAGGGGTCCCTACTGGGTTAATTTCAAGACAGCCTGGACACAAGTCAGAAACCTTTGTTCAGGCTCTTTGTACTCTTCAAGAGACTATTTGCCCTATCCTTTATGTGGGTGCCATCACCTCTCTGGACATCACAACCCTGGTGGGGGAAGCTGGGATCCCAATGGATGAGGAGGTGCCAAGGCCCCTTGTCTAGGGACCTGGCGGTTCCTGGGGCATGTCCTTCCTCCAGGGACAACTGCCTGTATACTTCTCTAGTTACCCCCTGGGACACACACATAGACAACAATTTATTTCTCTCATTAACCCTGGAGCCAATTTACAGTGCTTCCCAGGAACCCCTGCAAATATAAGCGTGGTGCCCTTTAGATTACGAGGTATAATAGGAAGGGTAGTAGAAGGCTCTCAACTTCCCTTTGGTGTCACTATTGGAACAATCTTTACTGGAACTCTTTCAGCAATGGTGGCCCCTTTGACTCTACCCTTTCTTGTTAAAAGTGCAGATGCTCACACGTGCTATCAAGGCCAGTGGTAATAAACCCAGTGCCTGGCCTTCCTGGTGGGGGCTACATACCAGGAGACTGTAGGACTGCAAATCGCACCCTCCCACACATTAAAACAGTATATATGTATATTGGTATATTGATATGTCAATATTGTGTGCAATGGGGGACTGAGGAATTGCAGCCCATTATTTAATGTTTACTGAAGGAGGAGGTCATTAAACACACCGTTTCTCCTTTCAGTCCACCCATTTGACAGGCATTAAAGTCCCTCCTAACAGGTGACATTTTACAATTGACTACTGAAATGTAAATGTCCAAGTGTCCAGGTGTCTGTACAATGGATCACATTCCCAAAGCTGTCTAGGTAGTTGAGAACATTCAAAGAGCTTCAGGGGGCCACTTTGCCATGACTGAGCTAGCCAGTATGTCCCATTCAGAACTGATGACTGAGGGATCCCAGCCACAGCCTGCTCTCAACTTATACGCCTCTACCCCGCTGCCTTGGGCCATCTTAACAGCCTGAAGAGTGCCATGATGTTTGCCTGATCAGGCCATGTGGAGCCTGTCATGAGTTCCTCTGGTCTCGGCAATTGAGGCCCACTCTCACTGGTCAATTCTCTTGTGTTCTTGCCGTTTGTAAGACATAGGAGGCCCACAGCCCTTCAGTCACTGGACCAAGCTAGTCCAGATTTTTGGTCTACTTTTATATAACTTGTGGTGTTAGGCAGTCTTATCAGGGAAGTGGCTGAACTATGCCAGTTCATTCACATGTGGCCTGAGTGACGTATGAAACATTTTGTGATATGGAAAGTGTCTGCACCATGGGGGTTATGCTGGAGCACCTAGTGACCATCTGGCATAACGTTGCCTTGCTCTGTCAGTGAGAGAGAGAACCCAGCACTATATCTGTCTTCAAGCAAAGATAAATACTCTCTACCAATACTTTACCTGAGCAAATGACCATCCTGAAGCTTTCATCAAAGTTTTCCGGGCCCAATAAATGCTGTGGAAGGAAAGGCAGAGTGACATTGTTTTTCTGGTTGTGTATACCTCACCCTTCCATTTGTCCATCCACATTGTGTGTTCACCTGCTGGCATTGGCAGGAACGAACACAAGTTCAGGGGCTTACTCACTATCATGATGTCAACACAACTGACAATAAGACTGAGTATTTAATGCAGATGGGACTTGGAAAACTGGTGTGGGGGGCTGTGCCTGACGTGTCGAGAAAATCACACAGGTTAATGGGGCATACACAGTTTGAAAGACAGCCAGTTGTAAAGGGTCAAAGGGAGACCAGGAGATGCAGTCAGTCTTTTAATAGTGGAGGAAAGGGCATGTTTCATTTTTAAAAATTTGTTTTCCTGACAGGAGAGAGACTGAATAAAAGAAAATAGGTGGAAATTCAGTTTCTTGATCTGTGACCTACTTTGTGATGCTATATGCTTCTAGAGCCTGGGAATTGGCTCTGAGAATCCTTACCTATAGTCGTCGTGGGGATGGCCATCCAGGGTCTTGACGATGGTGATCTGGAACTATTTTTGCATACCCAGGAGCATCTTTCCTC